GCACATGCTCGCGTGCTCTTGGCATCTGGTGAGGGGTACAACGAGCCCTCCTCAGATGGGCGTGAGAGCTCCCAGCATCTTGACCCAAAGGCTCTCGTCTGTGTCCAGAATGTCCTCTCCAAATAGGCCAGGCAAATAGCAAGTTCCATTAATCCCAGTGGGAAAGGGAGAAGGGCCAAGACCAAAGTTTCTGAGCTAAAAAGGAAGACGTGCATTCCCAGTTGGCATGTGCTCCTCATAAGATGCTGAGAGTACCTGCTAAGGATCTTCAGTGATGTTAAGAGAGCTGTAGCCATGTCCAAGGGGGAGAGAAGATGGCTGGAAGATGCTGACCAAGGCTAGCTGGAGACCCTCGTCCCTTGAGGACATCTGGTATAGTTCATTGTAATTTGAACAGAGAATCCTCCCTTCTCTAGCCCCGCTTTGGTTGCTTCCAGTCCCCTAGCTCCTGGCAACTGGCACCACCTCTGTGTTGGTCTTTTTGGAACCCCTTCACTAATTTTGCTGAGGCTTAGGCTCTGAAAGGGGTGGTTGCCTCTGGATCATTCACTTCACTCAACAAACCCTTATTGAGCATCCCCCTGTGCCAGGAGGTGTGTTAGGTACCTGGGAAGGACTGTTCTGTGTAGGAGGGAGACTTTGGGAAGAAACAGGAAGGACGCTCACTTGCCGCGTTTTTTCTTTTCTACCTCAGTGGTGTCAGGAGACTGGTTGAAGGGGGCCTTGACATTAGTGCAATGAACGTGGGCTCTGAATGTGGCGTCGGATGGACCTGGGTTCAAATCTCCACCCACCACTAACTACGTGTGGGAACTTTAGCAGGTCACAGTCCATTTCTGAGCCTCAGCAAAACAGAGAACATGACACTGATGCTGTGAAGTCCCCAGTGCTTTGCCCAGCACATGGAAGGCATTTGAAGATGGGTGATCGCTACCAACTCTCTCTTCCAGCTGGATGGCTGGATTGCTGTGAGTTGGGGCATCCACATTTCTCTGCCCAGGGTTTCATTTCTGACATTTCCTTCCTGGCAAACCAGGCCAGCTAAAGTGAATGTGCAGTTGCATGGTTCATTATCCAATTCCAATTCTGAGCAAAGTCAACAGGGAGCCTCACAGTCAGCAGCACGTGGGTGCTGCCTGGAGCACATGGGCTCCAGTTAACTGTGCTGTGTATAGGTCACGCTCTTCTTTTTGGTGTTCTCTGTGGCACAAGCCCTTTCCAAACCCATCCTAGCTCCCCCAAGATGTAGCTAACTAAATCATGTGTAACCCTACCTCTAATTATTATTTACCTCATTTGCTTGTGCTTTTTAATTATAATGCCGTTTCCACCCAACCACAAGTTCTCAACCTTGTCTGTACATGGGAACGACCTGGAGGGCTTTAAAAAATACCGATGCCTGCTCTGAGCCCCAGAAATTCTGCTTTAGTTGGTCTGGAATATGACCTGATATTGGGGTTTTTGAAAGCTCCCTGGGTGATATGAACATGCAGCCAGGGTCGAGAGCTCGTTTGTCAGGTGGAGGACCTTTTAGCAACCCAATTGCAACTCCCAATTGGATTGCCAAAGATCCTGCACCTGACTCCAACTCATTGCAGGGGGCACAGGGGAACTCTGACATAGACGGTAGCACTACTAGATCTGGTCCCTATTATGCTTGAGATGAAGTCTTGCTCTGTCACCCAGGCTGGAGTACAGTGGCATGATCTCGGCTCACTGCAACCTCTGCCTCCTGGGTTCAAGCGATTCTCCTGCCTCAGCCTCCTGAGTAGCTGGGACTACAGGTGCATGACACCACGTCCAGCTAATTTTTTTATTTTTAGTAGAGACGGGTTTCACCATGTTGGCAGGATGGTCTTGATCTCTTGACCTCATGATCCATCTGCCTCAGCCTCCCAAAGTGCTGGGATTACAGGCGTGAGCCACCGTGCCCGGCCCCCTCATTATGCTATTGACTTTCTCATTTCTGCCTTTTCTCTGTCTTTTGATTTGAAATATTTGAAATAAATTTTAAATTTGCTATTTTTCCTTTTTTCTGGCTATAGTATTCCATGGTGTATATGTGCCACATTTTCTTTTTCCAGTCTACCATTGATGGGCATTTGGGTTGGTGCCAAGTCTTTGCTATTGTGAGCAGTGCTGCAGTAAACATACATGTGCCTCTGTTTCTAAGGTTTCCCTTTGGTCCCCTTGGCCAAGACAGGGTCCATTCTGTCAATTGGGGACTTAGGATTTTAGTTTTATTTCTCGTTGGTGACACTGACCCTTCCCAATTTGCCTTGTCCTGAGAAAAAGTGATCTCTCTGACACTCCTTCCTCTTATCCTCCAAGGAAAGCACCATGGCAGAGGTAAGAACTAAGGACTGCTTTCCCTAGACCCGTGTTTACCACTGACACAACGCCATCAAACGTAGATACAAGTTTTGCTTAATATTTTGTCCACCGAACACTAAGAACAAAGTGTACTTGCTGTGTTGGGAACTTTGAGCTCTCACTCACAAAGCATGCAACAGGGCATTTGGGAGGTCCTGTTCCTGGTGAAGGCAGCTGAGAGGTAACTATCTGGACAGTGATCCTAGCATGTGTGGAGAACTGCCAAGATAAATGGAACAAGGGTGATTTGCATGAAGCATGGAGGTGGCTCCTGGGAATGAACGCACCCTGAGGAAAGAGAGGCTACAGTCCACAAACTGGGTCTAAGATATTCTGAGCACAGCATGGAGCGCCACTCAGATGATCTTTCAAGGTCTCCTGCCTAAGCTGCAGCAACATCAACAGTGAAGGAGGAAACATTAAATGAACTAGAATATGAGACCACAGTAATTTAAGACTGGCCAGGCACAGCAGCTCACACCCATAATCCCAGCAATGTGGAGGCTGAAGTGGGTGGATCACTTGAACCCAGGAGTTCAAGACCAACCTGGATAACCCGGCAAAACCCTGTCTCTACAAATAATACAAAAATTAGCCATGCGTTGTGGTGTACGCCTGGAGTCCCATCTACTCAAGAGGCTGAGGTGGGAGGATAGCCTGAGCCTGGGGAGTTCAAGGCTTCAGTGAGCCATGATTGTGCCACTACATTCCAGCTGGGGTGACAGAGTGAGACTCTGTCTTCAAAAAAAGTAAAATTTTTTTAAGAATTTAAGACTGAGATGTGAGGATAGACGGCATCGACCCACAGCAGGGGAGACAGAATCAGCATCATCTCCAGGAAAGAAGACATAAGTAGCAGTTTGGTTATCTGGGGACAATCTGCAGACTCGGGGAGTGGCCTTGGCACAAGCCACAGCACACACCGTGATGGGAGCCATTAACCTTGGTTAGACATCAGAGGGCACCAGGAGGAGCCGGGCGCCAGCACCATGGTCACTGTTAGCATTTGCAGGCACCTGACTTGCAATACCCTAATCTGAGTCTAAATAACTTTGTGGGTGAGGGTCCCAAAATACGTATGTAGTTCCCATGGTTTCTTTCTCAAGTGAGAAAAGAAACACTTTAAAAATAGGTTGGGTATTGCTCAAACATGGAAGATGGCAAGATAGTGCTTTTTACCATTGAGTTATTCAGTATTTCACAAAGGAGGGTTTCAGAGATGCTTTGAGCACTGATAGCATCGTGTCTCCCCAGGAGGATGTATGAGCTCTGGGTGCTTGTTGATTTATTTCAGCTCCTTATAGATTCTGGATATTAGAGCTTTGTGAGATGGGAAGATTGCAGAATTTTTCTCCCATTCTGTAGGTTGCCTGTTGACTGTGATGCTACTTTCTTTTGCTGTTCAGAAGCTCTTTAGTTTAATTATATTCCATTTGTCAACTTTGGCTGTTGCCGAAATTGACTACAACTTTGGTGTTTTAGTCATGAAGTCTTTGCCTATGCCTATGTCATGAATGATGTTTCCTAGGTTTCCTTCTAGGATGAAAAATTGCATTTCTAACACGTTCCTGAGTCAGGTTGATGCTGTTGGTCTAGGAACTACACTTTGAGAAACCACTGATAACACCTTATTAAAATAATAATTATAGTTTTTGGGGCAGAGGACTAAATGGGCAAATTAATGCCAAGCACTCAACAGCATGCCTGGCAGTCATATATGTTCCACAAATTCTGGCTGTGGCTCTGAAGGGTGGCCTGATGAGTCTCATCCCATGTGGCTGGTATTGCCGTCACACCTCCTTCCATCTGATGCTATCATCTCCTCTAAACAGGTAATCCAGACAAGGTCCTGAATTTATGGCTGTTGCAGAGAATCAAATTGTGAGAGTAATCGATCTGACCCTTTCAATTGGCATGGGGAAACTGAGGTCCAGAGAGACAAAATGACTTTCCCAAGGTCACATGGCAAGTCAGAGGCACCATCTCTATGCTTTACTTTTTTTATGCAGTGAAGGGGCTAGGTGGCATTTTCCCTTTCCTGTTCTTGTACTGACACTTCTGGGAGTACATGAAACATAAGGAACGTTCTTATGCCCCAACAGTATATAAAGAAGATTACTGAATAAAAAAGTGGCTATAACACACACATACTACATGTGAAGCTCACAGCTTTTGCAGCCAGGACCAAAAACCGCACTCCAGCATGTTACCTTCTTAAGTGAATGCCCAAGGCTTCTATAGTTGGGCACATCTGCTCCCCATCTCCTGGCTTAGCTCATTCCAGGGCTATAGAATGTCCTTTCCAAAGGGAGTGGATTCACACTGCTTCCATGCTCTGAGATCCTGAAGTGAGCATTCCCCATCCGCCACAACAGAGAGTAAAAGTAGAACCTGTTCCAACTGTTCTATCTCAGTCTGTTCAACAAACAGTTATTGAGCACTTGACAATTGTGTATGTGGTGCGGTGATAATCGAATGGATGGTCCAGAGAGGGTCAAGATAGAGCAGCTGCCACCTGGAGATGTTCATGATATGGGTTCTTCCAAGAGGAAGGGTCCAACTGGAAAGATGTACCTGATTCTTAGGGTTCTGTTTGGGTTTTTATTTTTATTTTTTTTTGCCATTTGAAGGGGTGCACCATTCCTGGAAGCACTGAAATACCAGGCCGATGCGTGGAGTGGACAGAGCAAGCTCCTATTCCATCTCCCTGCTCCAAAAATCCATTTACTATATTGTCCTCGGATAGAGGACGTATCAGATATTAAACTGATGCCACACTTGATCTTACCTAAAAAGGCTGAGAAATGAGGCTGCCTGTGTCTTGAGTTCATTCTTTCCCCACTGATGTTATTTTCTTACCCTTGGCAGGAAGATGATGCCTGTTAGAAAGCCTCTGAGGCTCCTTTTCCTTTCTGCCTGGATTTACGCGGCTGCCAGTATCGGAGCAGTTTCTACCACCCACATATTTCCTTGTTAAATGGTCAGGCCTCTTCCCACAGGGAACACCTTCATTAAAAGAGGCAGCTGTTGCCACACAGACCTGCAGGCTTTCTCAGTGCTAGAGCAGGTGGGGGTGCAGTGGGCAAAGCCAATGGAGGCACAGGCCAGGTCACGGCGGTTTCCTGGAGGCCCCACCCTAGTAATGAGGGCCCAGGCGTGCAGCTGACCCTTTGAAGATGTGTTCTGAAGCTCTCTCGTGGTGATCAGTGACAGGAGCCCAGACTCCTGCTTTAGCAAAATGATAAGGTTGGGCTCTTTTATGAGGAAAGGAACTCATCATTGGAAATCAAATTACAAATTAATTAGCAGCTTCCTCTGGGGCTGAGTGTAAACATCAATATCACCCAATAAGGAATTTCTATCATAAACCCCCTCACTGCAAGGGCATAAATGGCCTGGGTGGCCTGGGGTCTGTAGACATCCAGGCAGCTTCGGCGGAGGAGAAAGGGCTTCTGCAACATGACATCCACCTGCTGTGTCACCAGCAACTTGCAAGCCTCTCTCAAGAGCTGCCCCCGGCCTGCCTCGGTCTGTTCTGGCAGTGTGAACTGCCGGCCTGAGCTGTGCCTGGGTTATGTCTACCAGCCCATGGCATGCCTGCCTTCTGTCTGCATGCCCACCACCTTCCGGCCAGCCAGCTGTGTCTCTAAAACCTATCTATCCAGTTCCCGCTGGCCAGCCAGTGGCATCTCCAGCGCCATGGGCCCTGGCAGCTGGTACAGCGAAGGGGCCTTCAATGGCAATGAGAAGGAAACCATGCAGTTCCTAAATGACCGCCTGGCCAGCTACCTGGCGAGGGTTCGAGAGCTGGAGCGGGAGAACGCGGAGCTGGAGAGCAGGATCCAAGAGGCCTCTCACTCCCAGGTGCTCACCATGACTCCTGACTACCAGTCTCATTTCAGGACCATTGAGGAGCTCCAGCAGAAGGTGAGGGCAGTGGCAAGTGAACAGGCTGTCTGGGAAGGGATCTGGACTAGCTGGCATTCCAGATTTGAATCTCATTAGCTTATTAAGCTATGTTCAGGACAAAGAGATTCCCCCCTAGGGCAAAGGGTTATTTTATAATATGAGCACTAAGCCTGAGGCTTTCAGGTGGAGAGATCTGGGATTTAGTCTCGATTCTACTGTTGCCTCATTGCATGACTTTGGGAGGTCCCTTCCCTTCCCCAGGCCTCAGTTTTCTCATCTGTAAAATAGGGTTAATAATGGTCATTATCTAATGGGGTTGTCAAAGGATTCGATGAGATGTAGCAGGTCAAGTGCTCGGAAGAGCCCTTGGTCCACGGTGAGTTTTCAGTAAATGTCAAGGACCCTTCTATCTGTCACATGAATGACTTCAGACATGAGATTCTTCCCTTCCACATTGCTCAGCGCATCCAAAATGGGGAATTTGAATTTACAAAGCTCCAGGTTCCTAAAGAATACATCTCAAGTTCTTCAAGGACTAGCAATTCACTAAATATCTCCCAGAGTTCCAGGGAAGAGGGCCTTCTGCAGGGTGGGCTGCAGGGGTGCTGGATCCTACCTTTGCTGCTGTCTTCTCTTCATTTGGATTCTTCTTCCTTCTTCTCACCCTGAACTAACTCTCTCCATGTGCCTTGGCCCACAGATTCTGTGTACCAAGGCAGAGAACTCCAGGATGGTCGTGAACATTGATAACGCCAAGCTAGCTGCCGACGACTTCAGGGCCAAGTGAGTTTGGCCAGGGGACAGGGGTTGGGGGAGGTCCTGTCCTCATAGGCTCTCGGGCAGCTTTCCATTAGTTTCACAGAGGGTTGGGAAGTGCTGGCAGTCTAAGGCCTTCCCTGAGTTCTGCATTCACTCAGTTTGACCCTCGGTTGCTGACCCTGGCCCTGTGCAGGTACGAGGCGGAGCTGGCCATGCGGCAGCTGGTGGAGGCCGACATCAACGGCCTGCGAAGGATCCTGGATGATCTCACTCTGTGCAAGGCTGACCTGGAGGCCCAGGTGGAGTCCCTAAAGGAGGAACTGATGTGCCTCAAAAAGAACCATGAGGAGGTGAGGCCGGAAGTCACGCTGAAGTGACCCTGGGAAGCAGAGGGGAAAGAATGTGGGGTATGGGGTTGGATAAACATGGGTTGGATTCCCAAGCCTGCCACATGTTGTTTCAGTGAATATGCCCAATTTATGGAATCTTCCTGAGCTTCCTCATCTGTAAAATGGGGACGACACTATCATGCAGAGTTATTGTGAGAATTGAATGGGTAGGATATGGATCATGGAAATCCCCAAGGCATGGGTAGGAAACACCCGCCACTTGGTCAGTGCTCGGAAGTGTAGTCCCCTTCCCTTCTGCATTTTCTGGGCTACTGACTGCCAAGCGCTCATTCCTGGTGACTGCATGTGCTTTCTCGAGAGCCACACACCAGAGGTAGAGTGGTGCAGTGGTGCCAGGGGCAAGTTGTGTTCCGGATCCATCTCTGCCTGGCCAAACTCTCAGAAGCAGTCCCATCTCTTCCGAGAGGGCGTAGAGCTGCAGTGGTCTCCTCCTTGGCCCCCATCCTTATTTTGTCCTCTCTGCTGTTTGCACATAAAATACTCAAGCTGAAGCTACAGGCAAGCCCTTCACTTTCTGTTTTTTCCTTATCTCCTGAAGTTTCTCGGAGGGAAAGCCCTCTGCTTTGGGCACCTGTGTGCTGCCAAGCCCACCCAAGCCATGGCGTTTTTTTCCCTCCTTTCTGGTTGACTCTCGACCTCTTGACTTGGGATTTGAATGAACAAGCGCCTCTGAATCTTGGCTGGGTTTCCTCAGGCTTAAGTATAAAGTAACAGCCAGTAACCACATACTCGCTGAGCACCCCCGGGTGTCTGACTCATCTCGCTCAAATTAGAGAACCGGGAACTACACCAAAAAGCCACTAATGAGAAGTTATCACACACCCTGGCAGCCTCAGTGATAACTTTCCCTCTTTGGCAGCCAGGCCTGGGAGGCAGCTGCCCTAACCCGGGCCTTGAACTAGTCAAGCTGGGCTCCTGCTACCCTCCTCCCAGGATGAACACAGGCTGGGAGGGTGGCTGGGAATGCTAGGGGGACTGGTTTCCCATTTTAGCCCAAATGCATCCGACAAACCCAGACACTGCTCTTGGCGTCTGCCAAAGTGACAGGAAATGTGCTGCAGTGAGGCTCCTGTCACAGGGGTGTTCAGCTGGAGTCTGAAGAGCACTGGGATGCTGCTGGGTGGACTGCAGTCCTTGGGGGCGGTCTAATGCTTCCATCTTCAGCATCTTCTGTTGCATCTTTTTCTGTCTCCCTGGGGAGGTGACGCAGGATTGTATGATTGTCACACTTGTCTGGAGCTCTTGTGCCTTTTCAGGAAGTCAGTTCCCTTCGATGCCAGCTTGGGGACCGCCTTAACATTGAGGTGGATGCCGCACCCCCGGTGGACCTGAACAGGGTGCTGGAGGAGATGCGGTGTCAGTACGAGACCATGGTGGAGGCCAATCGCAGGGACGTGGAGGAATGGTTCAATATGCAGGTGGGCCTCTCATGGTGGGGGCAGCCTCCTCCATGTCCCTAGGAAGGGACTCCAACCTTCTCCTTCCCCCCACTTCAGATGGAGGAACTTAACCAGCAGGTGGCCACAAGCTCTGAGCAGCTTCAGAACTACCAGTCAGACATCATTGACCTGAGACGCACGGTCAACACGCTGGAGATCGAGCTGCAGGCCCAGCACAGCCTGGTGAGAGCTGCTGGGTGGGCGCCCTCCCTCTGGATCCTAGTCATACTGAGCATAGGTGTGGGCCTCCAGGAAGGAGGAAGAGGAGGCCCAGATTTCAGCCACTATGGATGCTCATCCTGTTGGCCTTTCCTGGAGGGAGGTTTCTTCTGAGATCCAGCTCAGAGATAAAAGAGGCATATTTCAAATCGGACATGGGTTAGGTGGACACTGTCAAACTCGACTCCACAAGAAGACTTGTTCTGTGCTTAGCCTGCCTTTCCAAACCTATGAATCTCAGTATCACCCATCCTGATGCCCAGGTTCTTCTCTGGACCAACTCAACCAGAGTCTCTGGAGGTGGCGTCAGGTCATGGGTATTTTTTGAGGGCTCCCATGTGGCTCTAATGTGCAGCCAGGGTTGAAAACCACTGTTCTAAATGCTGCTATCACGGAGGTACTTGGGAAATCTCAGATCCAAAGCCTGAAGCCAGACAAAAGTTGCAGAAGGAAGGAGAAATTTAGGATCAGACTTACAAATTGAAACTGTGGTTCCATCACGTACCAGCTGTTTACCCTTGAACAAGTCATTTGACCTTTCTAGGCTTCCATTTCCACAGTGACTCAGAAAGGGAGGGCTCATTCCCAGCACCAAAGGGAGGTTTGGCTCTTCTTATTTCTTTCTGAAGCAAGCCATAGCAAACAGCTCCCCTCCTCATGGTTATGTCTTCCTTTGCCTTAGAGGGACTCCCTGGAAAACACGCTGACGGAGAGCGAGGCCCGTTACAGCTCCCAGCTGGCCCAGATGCAGTGCATGATCACCAACATGGAGGCCCAACTGGCCGAGATCCGGGCTGACCTGGAGCGGCAGAACCAGGAGTACCAGGTGCTGCTGGACGTCCGGGCCCGGCTGGAGAGCGAGATCAACACGTACCGGAGCCTGCTGGAGAGCGAGGACATCAAGTACGTAGGTGCAGCTGAGGCTCAGAGAGATGTGGGCAGGGATTCTGGGAGGTTATAGGAAGCAACTGGATCTGCCCTTGAGGGACCATCAGCTTAGAACCCTGTCCTGACCATGGAGCCATTAGGAGCTGGTATGCTCTAAAAGAAGTCAGGCAGTGGTGTTCATGCTG